TCGTGCTCCCAAAACATGTGACTGCCAAAGAACTCAATGGAATCTCACTATTTTTAGACTTGAAATATTCGAGGAGAGCCGTGTGTGTGTGTGTGTGTGTGTGTGTGTGGGTGTGTGTGAAGGAGACATAGATAGCATGAGACTAGCAGATGTTTCATTGGTGAAGTGGGGGGCGGATCTTACATGCTTTCAGGATTCATCCCTCTGAGACTGAAATCCTTCACAGGCCTTTGCAGGTTGTCCTTGGTCTTGATGTGTTTTTGCATTTGTGTGATATTGCCAACAGTGTAACCTAGATGTTTGGCTTCATTGTAAATTCTGAGTTTAAAGATCATAGATTTCAGCTCAACCATCATTGCACTGTTCTTCTGCCGGCGGACTGATTGAGTGTTTTCTCGGGTTAACAAGCACTCAAAATTGCAAACTGAAAGACCAAGGTGGCAAAGTTAATATACAGTTCAAAATAACGGCACCATATTTAGCAGGGTGAAGTGCACGCTCTTTGTTGAGCATTGTTGTGTAACTGTTCGGGTGACTAAACATACAGGATTTCATATAATATCCCTGTCAAAATGTTTGCATAAGTATATATAAAACAACACGTGTAATGTGAAAGAGGTTGCTCTTGGTATATATGTTTTTTTTTTTTTAATCCACGTAGACTATCAGCCCAGCATATAATGGTACACAGACACTGTATGAGGTGAGTGTAACTCAACTAATGCCCATTTAAGATAAGATAAGTCTTATTATCATGTCAATGAAAATGACATTTCCAACATGACAGAATCAGTTTTACTGAATGATACAACCTTTCTGTAACATCTAAAAATCAGAACCCCACTTGTTGTTATCGATAGTGTTTTACGGGGGGGGATTTGTCCCCTGTTCTCTTTAATCTCTATATCAATAATTTGTGCAAGCAACTGAAAACCTACTGGGTGCATGACTGGGTCATTTCCTAACAGAACGGATTTGAGATGATACTGATATATCTAGGCAATGTCGTAGGATGTATAAAACCTTCTCATGCAGGTTTAACATGTGTACAGATGGAGAGGAGATTTCCCTGTTTGGAACATATCGTTTACCAGTCTACACTGCACACTGGTGGTCGAGCTATAAAGAAAACATGTCCACAGAGACTAAATGATGCCATGAGAATATTAGAGAGACCCGGAGGAAGAAGTGCCAGTGAAATGATTGTGGTTGCAGGAGTCAACACTTTTCAAACTGTCTAAAGAAATCGTATGCATACATTTATTTGCCGGCTTAATGACTTACAATTAAATCATTTTGGTTGTAACAAACACTGACTGGATTCGAATAATGACACTTTGTCTTGTCTCATCTGGACCCAGAATCTGAAATATGGTTTCATTGAATTATGTTTTTAGGGAAAAACCCAAACCGCTTTTAATCCTGTTTTTTTCATGTAACATATTTCACAATATTCAGATACGGAACAAAATACCATATTCTGCCAACCGAGCCAAATTTATTGCATTTTGAGCTGGGGCGAATAATTTATGTTAATAATTGAAAAAGTAAAGCAAACAAATAGAAAATATAAAAACTTCCACAAATCAGAGCTCCATATCTGCTTCTCTAACACAGTTTCAAAACAGGAGCTCCAATAAGGGAGAGAGAATCAGAAGCCATTTATTGCCACATATGTTACACATAGAGGAATTTGACTTGGTGCAATATAAGTATAAAATATACCAATAAAATAAGAAAGTAAAATAAGATAAAAAATATACAGGCAAGAACTAACATAAAACAGATAGGACCCTCAAAGTTAACTTGCTGATGCGCTGCTTCAATAGATGGACTTTAACTCAAGGGCAAGTCAAGTAAACAAACAAACAGCTTTCAGCCTCCATCTAATTATTGAGTCAAAGGATAAAAGGTCCAAATATCTGTGAGATAAATGCTCAATTTTTGCTTTTTGCAGCTAGTTTAATTGGCAACTTTGTATTGTAGTTTGACACTTCTCCAAATGGGCAAATCAATGAAGGGGAATAATTATTGTGCAGCCACTTTATTACCAAAACACATCTGTTGAATTTCATGTGGAGGAAATACGTTGCCGAACACAAACATAGCTTATTTAAATGCAGCTAATGAGCACTGTTGACTACAATCTGAAGACACTTCCAAGCAGGTATAATCCACACCCAAAGACCTGACAAGAGGGGCACATCACGGGAATATTTGTGACGAAGTTATTTCACAACGAGAGATAAGAAAAGAGAGTTCAGGCAACAGGAAAAGTCCAGAGAAGGAAAGCTTAGAATAGATGTGCAGAGCCTCTGTATGATTGGTTTCTTCATATTCAAATAAAGCTTCCTTCCTGTTCATTTTAAGACTATTGCTTAACCTATATGAAATGATTTTCCCCCGTCATGCTTCAGTGGGAGTGGGAACGTGGGCAAATACATCTGCCAGCGACATGCAGCGTTTGTGAAACCCTGGAAGAGCTAAAGCAGCTACGGCCTTTTGCCTATAAGTTAACAAGATTAAATGTTTTATTTGGTGTTATATTTCCGATCTCTTGGTCCAAGCAGCCCATGAATCTGAGCTGTTGTCTGTCTGGAAATTTGTATGACACTTTCATATTGCTTTTAAGTTGGTTGATTTGAAATGTAATGACTATATAGGCAGATAACTTTTCCTGTTGGATAGAACTGAATAGTTTCAAAACATATGCACAGACGCACAGTATGTAAATAAGTCAATATGCCACATTAAGACATTCAGCAGAATCAGAAGTGTTCTGTTTCAACTCAGTTTAATCTTAAAACAGAAGTAAAAGTCAACCGATGTATAAGCACAATAGATTTACTTTTTAAGAGTTGTTTAAGTTGTAAATCAAGAGTTTCACACAAAGTGGCAGCAAATTACTTAAAACAGTGAGGAAAAATAATCACCGCTGAGCTGAACGTGCACATCCAATTACTCCAGATGTCTTTGTCGCACCCTCCTAGTTGCTCTTTTATGTCCCTTTCTACACCATTTCCCTCTGTGAAGAAACAGCAACCAGGGCCTTGATCAGTTCTCCCTGACACAGAGCACAGGTAGCCATTAGTGCTCACCTCTTTCTTTGTACTCCACTCTGCCGTGTCTTCTTCATTTTCCAAGCAATGGAGGCTCAGTCTCTCACTGGCTGTGTAGACAGCACTGCAGAGCATTGCAATTTCATGCAGTAATGAATAATAATCTCAGCTCTTGGCCGGCCGTGAATCTTCACGGGCTGAGCGGACGTACATGTTGTAGCGCCTGGCGCGAGGGAACCCTCTGAAAGTTGGGGTGAAATAGCAGCGCTTGGAAATGCCATCCAGGGTGCGATTAGGAGAAAACTAAAAAGGCCATAGGGTTTTTGAAGAAGCAGGTTGGATTGTGTGATATATGCATCGAATTGCAATTCAACTTAAACAAAGTCAACATCAAAAGTAAAAACATGTCATCCAACTATTGTCAAAATACCACACTATGAATCCTTTTCTAGCTACCCGGGAGCTGGATTAACTTAATCTCAAGGCAACTCTCACACAGACACACCATCGGCCACTCGTGTGTTTAACCTTCAGCAAATGAACCTTTGGTTCCTATTCGAGCTGGCTTTCAACTCGCTTGCGTACCCCTCAATCATCAGACGCGATCCCGCTGAGCGAGCCATGACAGTGGGCTGCCTATGGAGCAGGACACAGGCAGAATATCAATGGGTGTCTGGCCACGCTGCTCTTCATCTCTCATTGCCCAAATGTGAGCCTCTGAACACAGAAGTGGTCCAAACGCTGGACGATCTGACCAAGGCATTTCGTAGCAATGCTTTTAATGGATTCCCCGGTGAGTTCCAGAGCACTTTACCAAAGCTAAGGCTGATTTGAACTGTAGTACACTGAATAAAATAACATCGAAAAGAGGACAAGAGACAAAAGACCTTCAAGTTTGTCTCGTTACTTAAGCAGCACCAAATACATCTAACTATATCAATATAAATCCACTTAATTAATCCTGAGATTAATAGTTAGTCATCTGTCTGCTGCCAGATACAATCACAGAATAAAAGTCAAATTAAGATTGGGTCGGGATCGGCAATAAGTGTGTGCTATTGTCCTCTACAAACTTTAACTTCATAATATAGTGAAGATCCTCAATACTAAATGGCTTTTGTGTTGCCTGCCTGCTATTATAGATCAATAGACTTGAGTTCAAGACATGAGACAATGCATCACTGTGCTTAATAATACAATGACAGAGCGATATGTGCCCTCAGTTTGGTTTGGATCAAGATCAGAGGGAAATCCTTCAACTTCAATTCATCAGAGTTTTTTGACTTTACTGCATTATTAATTAACTTCACTGTAAATTATTTAAAAGCTCTCTAGGTGAGCATTATGAAATGCTGACTTAAATGCCATGCTCTTCTGTGTTCCATTAGTGTTGGGATCTATCAAGCAACTCCACTTTCTACACCTTAAGACAACAAATAAGTCTCTCTTGTCTTCGGGCAGAGCTAAATAAAATCTCCATCCAAATGAAACGTGTTCCATAAACAAATAGTGGCGGGGGGGTGAACAGAGCTCACGCAGACATTATTGGCAATCCCCAAAATCAAACCAAAACACGAGTGTTTCCATCAGCTCGGAATTGATGCCCATTCTGCAGCCTTTGGTGTGCCACGGAGCGCTCGAGCAGTCTGACGTGCTGAGCGTGTGAAATACCACGCAACGTGCGGGATAACGCACCACCAACTCCGCGCCTGTCAAACAAATGGAGGATTTCGACGCTATATAATTCAACGCGCGTTTGCGATGGCACACGTGCGCGTAACTGTCGCCGACAAAAGACTTTGCCATTTTGCAAACGCCAACTGTTATATGTTCGGCATGGACGCAGCAGTCTGTCTCAACTTGAGATAATGTGATAAATTCCAACAATAAGGCGGAAAAAAGAAATGTAAAATACCCCAGCATAAAAAAACATGCACTTACCTCACGGACGCACCCGCTGCATTCCAAGTGCGCCAAAGGTCATTGCGCAGATATTCAGAGGACACGATGTAGGAGTGATGGGAAAGAAGTAGGTTACACTACACAATGCCTAATCCACTTCTTAATGTCCTTCAGACGTCGCCAACCATTTAATCTTCAAAGCCCGAGGAGGGGCTCAGGAACTCAGTTTATAATCTCACCGCTTCTCACCACTTTCTCTTGCGCAGCGCCGCGCAGACAAAAGTTGTCCGGGTTTATTTCTCTAATACGCAGGCGAACACCCGCATAGAATAATGTTAACGGTTTTTCTTTCTTTTTTTCCAAAGACCCCAAAAAAAGATTGTAAGAAAGGTCCGCTCGGTCAACAGCGAGGAAACCCGTTGAACATTCCCCCGACAGGTGGCAAATCCCACCGCCTGCTGGCAAAGGAGACGCACATCGTGCAGCGGAACGTGGAGTCGGCCAGCGCCACGAAGCGATTCTCCGGGCAGATTAAGCGTGTAGTTGTGCTGATTTACCCCTTTCTCTTTCTCTCTCTCCCTCTCCCTCTCTCTCCCCCCCTGTTTCTTGCGCTCTGGCGCCACCCGAAGTTGTCCTGAGGAGTTCAGCCCGCTTGTGACCGCATTCAGGACCAATCGATGACGTTTTGGTTCAACAACGCGCACCTTGAGATTATAATTTGTTGATTACATTTTACATCGTTTCATTCTCACTCTGTTACTCTACTTGGAACATCGAATGAATTAAATATCAGTAAAATGAAAGTAATCCAATTCTCCCCTAAGCCTCACTGAATGCCAGTAATACCAGGACGGTGTTTAACGCCAAATGGCCTAATATGCACCAACATGCGTGTAATGGCTACAATCCGTTCCAAATATCGCTTGGAAACAGTCACAGAAACTCAGGTCATCTCAGCCCATTCAGAACCACATAAAGCCAAGCAGTAGTTTTGGTCATGTGCAGGAAATTATGTTTGCATTACATTACATGTCATTTAGCTGACGCTTTTATCCAAAGCGACTTACAATAAGTGCATTCAACCATAGAGATACAAACTCAGAAGAGCAAGAAACAAGAAATGATGGCATTATTTAGATATCCCATAAACATTATAACAGACTGTCATCATTCTCTGATATTAAAATTGACGATGACAGTACTTGCCTGTAGCGATATACCTCAAAAGTACCAAATAGTTTTATTTGGATTTCTCTTATTTGTGTAAGCATTTGAGTCTGAGAGGGCGCTAGACACCTGTGGAGTGCAATTGACCATATACAGTGAGTCATGTCTCTCTTCAGGACAACATACTGTATGTTTCTTTGACAAACAAAGGGACATACAGGATAATTGTCCATACACAGCAAAACATTGGACCTGACATTTTTCTGGTGTGAAAAAAAATGTACATTTCTGTACATTGTCATCTTCATTATTTGTGCAAGCCCAGTGTATGTCAAGGGAACTGGTTGAATTCATGTTGGGTTTTAATAAGGTCAGAAGAGAAGGGGAACAAAAAGGTTGACTGTCATTATAATTTTTCATACAGGCTACAGTATAAGTGCCAGAGTCCAATACCTGCAACAGCGGTTCTTTACCAGATTTGATGAGGCAAACTGAACATGTCCAGCTCTGCCTGTTGCTTTTTAATGACCAGTTGTGGAGAATGAGGGTTAAATCCGACCTCTACTGTCTATGTAGCTACATAGTAACATTATGCCATTACAACTGTGTTAGTGTTTGAGTGAGAACAACTTCGTAGCAACTTTAGCGAGCTTGCGATTGTTGACAATATGCATAATATCTATTCATCCGGCAAGATTGAAAAGATCAGCTTTCATTTGTCTATTTCTTACTGTAAATCTTGCTAAGCACACTGAAAACAACCTCAGTGGCAGGCACATTAGAAGTAAGTGCTGACTTTGGAAAGTACATTTGTCTTATCACATCCCACACTGATCCAATGTAAGCTCTGATCTTCAAGTTCCAAACTCACTACGTGGGGAATGTAAACACATCAGCATTTGTTCTTAACTGGCCATTTCTTACTGTGAAAGAGAGTGAAAAGGCTGGAACTAAATGTTACGATTATTTCATGGTTAAAGCTCACATACAAAAGTAAACTCAATGTAAATGTATTTAATTTAAAAATAAATGTTTATTGCAATTTTGAGATTTCATTTTTTCTATTGAACACGCTCAATTTCCATTCATCTAATGCTATAATACACGACTGCAAGACTGATCTAATAATTATCTACAAAGCACTGATCCTGCCGATAATTGTATGACCCAAGAGTTTAAAGGGCAAAAACTAAATGGCTCTTGGTTGAACCAATCAATGCTGTATTGTTATAAATGTCCATGTAATTTATATTGTTGTGGAGATTGACCTCTTATAAAGCCTTAAAATATCTCTTAATTGTAATGTAATACAAATTCTCATTCATGATTAAATAACACATTGTCTGCACACCAACGTTACATCATGAGAATAACTCAGGTAAAACACAACTATCAATTAAAACATCAAGGCCAAGTGTTCTTTGAATGCAAAAAGCAAAAGCAGGCAGTCAAAGAACACAACCGAGCCACATCTAAAACATACAGATAAAAAAATGTCAACAAGAGCGTCAAACACTTCATTGATGTTCACAAAGACACCACAATGGCATTTGATATGAATTGTCTGTGATTGGAACTTAAAAACCATAACCAGCATAATGGGACCAAGACGGAAAGTATGGTTTGATTTGTACTTTTCAAACTGCAGCATCATGGTCAAAGACCAGATTGCAAGAGGTTTAATTATGGTTTGAGTATTTCCTTTGAAAAGACAGATAATGAATATAATATCTGTGTTAAGTAACTCTGTTTTTATATAAATAGAGCAAAATAAGAGGAGTTGTGAGGTCAGAAGCATATGCAGGGAGACACATATACAATGCCTGGAAAAAAGACCTTCAATTGCCCAAAACAAAAGCCTCTGATATGGTATTATTCTAAAAAATACAAGTAGCACTGCAGCGTGGTTACACGAATAGCGATCTTTCATCCGACCAATTGTGCTGTCTGAGTCGTTTGTGGACCCTTGGGGGCCGAGCACCAGAGGGAAGCTGAGAAACCCTTCAGCGAGGGCCAATGTACACCGAACACCTCGAGCAAAGACGTCCTTGAAGATACACTACGTCTCAGGGAATTTTGAAGTTCAGGTAGGAAGGTTATTAGGGATTGAGAGACATATTTGAATGTGAGACGGGCATTAAAGCGGCTTATGCTTCTCTACACAAAGTAAATGACTTAGCTCAACCCTTGTATTGAATGTAATTACTTACTGGGCACAAGCTGAAGAAACTTTATTATGCAATGCAGGCTACTTCGCATGAAAAGGGTCCTTGAAGTGTCCTTTATTGATTTTCAGGTAGGTTGGAATAATTTGCCCATAAACCTTGTGTTTAATTAATCATAATAACTCATCCGCCTGTTCCAATAAGGGGTTCGGCCGATGACTTAGGCGAGATGTTAAATCTAATTAAAATCCGTTTGTGCTTGTCTGACGGATCTGTTGGCCAACATACTTAAAGGATATAGTATTGTTGTTAAAGCTCAAACAATAACAGCTACTTCAGGGGGAATTAGTGCTAAATGGCTCCACAAGCAACACTTGGTCGAAGCACACATCTCCTGGGAAGCTCTCGATGAATAAAAGATGGGGATTATATGAAAGAAAAGTAGCTGTTTTTTGGTCTGTAATAAGTCAGCATTGTTTCTTGCAGTGGCATTTCTTGACAGCTTGAATAGTTATTAGAACAGCTTCACATCTGACTTTGAATGCAGCCCTGCTCTGATTTACATGAAATATATTACTTTCTCTCATGAGCAAATTGAGATATTTTAAGCGTTTACAGTCAAACCTGACCTTTTATAGCATGTGCACTGTTGATTCTATCCTTTTTAAAAAGTGAATGTGTTTTATTTTTATACCAGCTTTGATATCTACCTGCAGTCATAAGGACGTAAGACCTCATGCCTTGGCTCCTACTTTGATAAGAGTACAAAAAGAAATGGCACCACAATTAAGTAGGTCATTAATCTTCATGACAGCACATCGTTTTTCATGTTTTTGTCTATTTGTTGATGCTGGAGAAGAAATAGCAATTTTATAAAAAACTTCTATTTGTTGCAGAGGCATTCAATATGTCTCAACTCCACATGACATGCTTTTGTTCTTCTGCTCCACCGGTTCAACACAAAAAAAAGCTAAACATGAATGTTTTTGCTGATTGTTTCAGCATGAGAATAGCCATGATCGTTAAGTTTGTCAAAGAAATCAGGCTCGGGTTGTCGTGGACGGCTTGAAATGTTCATAGCAATTACAATCTTGGGCCGTGTGAACATGACATAGTTATTGCTCAGCGACAAAAAATCAGACGCTTTGCTTAAACGCCTAATGTCATTATTGCTGGCTTGATGCCACAATTTGTGGTCCCGTAAATCAGACAATGAACAATTTAACCTCCCGGGCATCCGTCTGGTCGCTAAGCGCCAGGCAGCACACATATAAGGATCGATTTTGGAATGAGGATGAACTCAAACAAGAGCCTGGCCAATGACAGGTGGTTGCCAGTCACTGTGTGTCAATGGCAGGTGGTCACTGTCATGCATGTGCCAACTCATTTGGCTCTCATTACACATTGTTTACAAGGCAACTGTCAGAACCAGAAAAAGAAGTAATGTGGGCCACCATGTTTTTTTATCCAACATGATGATTTATGTCCAAAAAACAGCACAAACAAAAATTGTAATAGATATTTCTTAATGAAGGGCAAATTAAAACAGTAACAGCAATGACAGTCATGGAATGGTTTAGTGAATTAGAAAAAAACAACAAAAATGGAATTGATCTCTATGCTGAAACTTGAAGCAAGAAATGCCCTCTTACTTAAAGATTGACAGACAAACTGGAGGACTGTGGGGGAGTGGAGTGCACGTAGTCCTCCAATCAGAGGATCGGCGGTTCGATCCCAAACGCCGCCGTGCGCGTCGATGTGTCCTTGAGCAAGAGACTTAACCCCACCATTGCTCATGTAGCTGTGACTACTGTGTGTTAATGGTGTGAATGCTGGTTGCTGGGTGGCACTGTGTGTGGTAACTGGGTTCATCACTGTGTGAATGAGTGAATGATGACATGAAGTGCTGAAAGCGCTTTGAGTGGTCGGAAGACTAGAAAAACGCTTTACAAGAACAGTCGATTTAACCATTTAAAGTGCCCTTTAGTATTTATTAACTGTTTATACATCTTTTTATAGGTGTATATGATTTTTCCATTCCATTTTTAAATTGTTAATTTATAGAATCAGTTGTTTAGTTGTGACTTACTACACTGTAAGATGCATTTGCTAGATTAACAAGCTAAAGTTGTCATTAGAAGAGGGACCGGTTTAATGCCTTATAAAGCAATGTGAGCTCATCCTCTCTTTGCTTTTGTCTTTGGATTTGTGATTTGAGATACATGTAATTC